AGATTTATCGAGTCATTGTTGAGGGCAACGCTGGAGCTACCGGTAGATGAGATGAGATTGTCATGCAACTGGCCAAAAATTGTGCAGTAGCAGGAAATGGGCCACATTGCACATGCCATGTGTGCATGTCTACACTGTATGTCGTTATTGCAACATTACAGTTGATGATCTCATTCCACGAGTGTTCTCACTTCAGAATTACCTCGATGCATATTCTGGAAGTGTTATGCCACTACAAAATGAAATTGAATGGCCTACTCTTGATTACGAATTAGTCCGACCATTTACATGGCAAAGGTCTCAGGCCGGTCGTCCAGTGAGCACCCGTTTCACAAATAATATGGATATGCGATCATGAAGACAACGTCGGAGTACTTAGTTTAATTATAAATTTCAATGTGGGATTTTTAAATATGTTCGATAACTTTTATTTGTATGCTTTTAATTTCAGTAGTAGTGTATCAAATGAATAAAATTTGCATTAATGTTCAAATTTAATGCCTATATCTAACGAAGAGAAGTATTAAATTTCATATTTATAAATAACCCAAGAGTTACTCTAGTGTTTATCTAAAAAAAATAAGAAAATGGTAGTGTCTATCCCATTAAACATTAAAACAGACCACCTTCAGACACTCCTTCACCATTTGGGAATGCATTTCCCATACTCATTGGGAAATCACCCCGAGAGAGGAAAGACAACGGAGTAATTTGTTTCTCTTTATTTTCTCATCATTTTATTTCATTTTTCTGGCCACTCATTTGCACTCCCCATACTGACTCCGATCCGTTGCTAGTTCTTGAGCCTTTTTTCTGAAAGCAGTCCTTGAGCCTTGTTTACAAGGAAGTTGAAATAACAGCTCTGAAACATGGCCACAATTTCAAGACCTATCCAACTGACACTGTCATCGAGGCCAGGAATTTCGTCTTCTTATCCCCCTTCTCAACCAAAGCTGAGATCTCAATTTGTGGGGAGGAAACTGCGATGGTGCAGGCCCTCCGGACCACGACCCGCCTCTGGTTGTTCAACAACAACAACTTGCTGGTTCCGATTCGGAAAAAATGGCGTCGATGCTGAAGGTGCCGGCATTTATGGTAGTCAATCACGAGATGACTTCGACCGAGATGATGTTGAACAGGTTTGTCGCCTTTTCCCTTTCTGTTGATGAAATTGATCTTTTCTATTCGGGTTTGCGTTCCAACTTCGTGTAATTGAAGAATGAAAATTGGAAGTGGTAACGGGAAAATTCAAACCGTTTTCCCTTGATCTAATTATTCTGAAGCTCACCTTTCTGGATTTTCGTGTCAAAGGGAAAACTGAAAGGTTGTAATTTCTGCTAAACCAAATGTTTACATCATAACAACATCACCATTTCCACCCATAATATGAATGCACACGTCCCAAAAATCTTGTCTCAGCACTAGCTTTTAATAACTTTTGTTTATTTGTGTATTTTCTTTGATTGTCTGATAAAATAAAATATTCTTGTCATATCTTATTTTATACTCTGGAGTAAAACTTTTGAAGTAATTTTAAAATACTCGAAGATATGTAATTTGTACTTATTTCTATGCCAATTTGTAAGTGAAATAATTTTAAAAGAGATAAGATTTTGTCACATTGTTCGAAATGGTACGTTTTTTTTGGGACGGAGGGAGTATGAGAAGAAAATAATGGGAAAAGCATCCAGATGACAACTCATTTTATTTAGAAGCTAGAACAAAAAAAAAAAGAAAAGACTGAGAGCAAAATGATTCAGAGTGTGTGTGACCTCTTATGCAGTATTTCAACTATATGGGGATGCTGGCTGTGGAAGGTTCTTACGACAAGATGGAGGCTCTTTTAAGCCAAGAAATCCACCCTGTGGACATATTGCTCCTAATGGCTGCTAGCGAAGGAGACAAGCCTAAGATCGAAGAGTTACTGAGGGCCGGTGCTGATTACACGGTCAAGGATGCCGATGGGTGCACGGCGCTTGATAGGGCCAATGAGGAAATCAGAGACTTCATGCTCAAACGTTCACCCACTAAGCGGTAGCTACTAGCTTGTAGAGTGTTTTGGATGGTCATGTTTTTGTTCTGTGTATCGATCGCTTCGATCTCTTTGACATTGGCCTGGATTTCTGACCTTGATTTGGCTTTTTTATTTGGAGAATTAACTTCACTTTCTAGTTTAAAATTTGATAGTGTTTGTGATCAATCTGCCCATTCACTCATTCAGAGCTCAAGACATCGTGAGTACTGAGTAGTAGTTGTTTTGATTCTCCGTATTTTAGTTTGTGTCATTCCTAAACATCTCGTGCTATTCACCTCTAAATCGCCCATAGCTTAGTCCAAATTCATGATAGGGAGAGTGCCTTTTTTGGCATTTGGGATTTGGATATGCTGCTGTATTCTCTAGATGATACTCATCGCTTAAGTTGTTGGAGTACACCGCATTTCCTTTCTAGTTTCTTCCTTCAACATTGTAGCGATTCAAAGATACTTTAGACCGACAACTTCCGGGGGAGCGGGTCACGATCAATTTGGTGAGGAGTCGACGAGATGGAAGAGCGTACGGAGATAAAAAAAATACACAAGTTGCACGATAAAGGAAGAGAAATTTTTGGAGGGTTTTTGTTCAGACTCATCTGACGTTCTTTTACTTAAGTTAAAATATTAGACACTGCTAAGGCTTTGTTACTTGACCTTCTTTTTCATTTTTTATGAAGCACGTCATCGTTAAATGTTTGGACATTTTTGTCAACTCACACTTACAAGGTAGTTCGACCAATACAAATTTTTTTTGGGCATTTTGATAATTATTTCGAGAATTCCAGACTACATTATCCTCTCCTATATCCACACGTCGTTTGACACCATCTACAATTATTTGTTACAATACAATCTCTATAAATATTTATTCATCGAGAATACTTGAGTTACAAACAAATAGTTCACAAACTTGCATGAATTTCAAATTATACTCTCTCCATCCATGAGTATTTGTTCACTTTTGACTTTTTTTGTCCAAATTGATAAATTTTGATCTTAAATTAAATAAAAAAGATATAAGATATTGATACAAAAATAGTTTTATTAGATTTATTACATCAAATATTTTCAGAATATTATTTTATCTAATTAATATATAATATATATGTTATTTAATTATAGGTCAAAGGTTGAAAATAATTGACCGAAAAAAGTTAAAACTGGACAAATACTCAGGGACGGAGGTTGTATTGTCTTTTATTATTTGGGTGCATCTTATATCAAGTAAATGTTGTAAAAGCACGTTTGTGAATTTTGTGAACTATTTTACTTCAATTTTGAAAGAAAAAAACTAGAGGGTAAAAAAGAAAACAATATCACAATGTTTTAATAGATTAAATTTTTAGAAGATTTAATTTTAAACGTCTAATTAAATTATCGCTTGTCCCTTGGAATTGATAAACTTAAAAGAGTAAATTTACAAAATCATATTCAATAACCATGTATTTTTTCAAATTAGTCCTCAAGAGGTATTCGTTAATTGCGTATGATGCTCAGTTTAGTGACCCGATTAATGAATGTCAAAAAACATCAAAATGACGTTAAAACTTATGCTAATTTCTTAAAATAGTACTTTCTAATGAAGTGTTTTTCCAAATTAGTCTATTTTTGAAATAAAAATCATAAAAATGGGAAAATAATTTTAAAGTTTATAGCTTGAGAATATAATATATAAAATTACAAATATAATTTATATATTTGAAATTAAACTATGCGAGCTGTTTAAATTTTTTTGGCAGAAAATCATGTAAATAAAATATATAATAAACGGTTTCATCCGTTTAGAAATAAGACTTCTACTTCAGTTTATGGTATTTATCCGAAATTATTTTCAAATAAATATAACTGAAATGAGTATTATGAAATGAGACTCAATTTTAGAAACAATAATTTCCGTGAAAATAAAGTATAAATTTTATATTTATAGAAAATTGAATTCGTCAATTATGAAATTACTGTGACTAAATAATATTCCATTCATTGTGAAATAAGGCTCATGCTTACTGTTCACGGGATCAAATTAAATCTATTTTCTTAATATATTTTTGTTGAGTCATGTCACCACTTATTTTATAGAACTTTTTTGTATGTTTTTAAAATATAAAGAGTATATTCTAAAGTCTAAACAAATTTTAGTTATAAATTTTAAAAAATAGGTTTAATTACACATCATAAATTTTATAAAATTATATATCTTGTTTTTTATTATATTTTGATTCTATAAAATTTATAATTATTTTTCCATATCTGATGGTGTAAATTACCACGCAAATACTAAGTATGAGTAATCGGAAGGGTTGTAGGTGGAAGCACCTGTAACCTGATTTGTTATTAATGATAATAGGAGTTATTACAAATACAAGCCGTGCAGGTTAATTAAAGCATGCCTCACAAATGAGGCTTTTAGGGGTATTTATAATAATCCTAAGCACGTCAAGCACGTCTCTGATTATCCAACTGGTCAGGCGGCTGACCGGCCCACCAGGTGCACTTTGAAAGTAGACCTTCGGGTATTGGCGTCTGGTCTCCCCATCCAACCGGTCAAATAACCGGGCAGGGAAAGACGCGTGCTGTTCGGTGAACTAACCGGGTGGTATCCTTGGGTTATTACCCATCAAGGAGTCCTCCGATTCCCGGTCCTGTGGGGACCATCAGGGGCGGGAAGCACATGCGATCATTTCCTGAAATTTGAACTGCCCAGTCGCTTTTTGGCGAGAAAATTGTCTCGGAAAACCAGCGCCAACCCAAAATATTTGAAATTTGAAATTTGAAATTCAAATTTCAAAAACCGGGTGTCCAAAGCGGGAGAATCTTCTCGAAGTCGGGTACGGAGCCGCCGATTTATTGTGCCGTTTCATCTCCCCAAGAAGTTATGATGGCAAATCATTTCAGCTGCCACGTGTCATTCTTTCGTTTGTCCGTTTGGGCGACCTCTCTCCTATATAAAGCGATGTCCTCCCTAGGATTTCTTCACTTGAAAATCTTCGATTTAAAAAACCGCCCGGCTGCTTCTACTACTTCCGAGTCCTCCGAGTCCTCTTATTCCAAGTAAGTCTCTCTTTCTTCTTCCTCGAGTCATGTCTGACCACGAAGACAGCCAGAACTCTTCCACCCATTCTTACGGTTCTAGTGACCGGGCTCAGACCTCCGGTTCCTCCTCTTCTTCATCCTCTGATTCTGAGCGCCTGGCTACTTCTCCACAGAAGAAACCGGTTGATGCTTCCACTTGTGCTCCTTCTTCTTCCGTGGCGCAAGTGATCTCGGTTGCCCAACCTGGGGATGAGGGCTTCGTTCTGCTGGATGACCAGTTGCTTCAAACGCAATCTTCGGTCATGCAGAAGGCCCAGGTCCACGAGGTGTGCAACCTGATGCCGGACGGGTACCAATTAACTTACCGGGCAACGTGGAAGAGCATTATTCCTCTCCACGCCGGTACGTCGATGGGTATCCATTACCACTCAATCAAGGACCTGGGCGAATTCTCCATTCACCCATTCAAAGTCCTTTTCCTTGAAACATACGGTATCATGCCCGGGCAGCTGGCCCCTAATGGTCACCATTTGTTGGGCAGCTTCATCAATGTCTGCTAGTTCCTTCGTATTCCTCTTTCCCTTCGTCTCTTTGACCACATGTTCGATGTCTGGCCCGGGTCCAAGGAGACCCTTGGATTCGTGGTGGTGTCTTCTCACCAAGGTCGGGCATTTCTCTGTGGCCTTCCTCCCTCCAACAAGAGGTGGAAGGACAAATACGTCTGCATCAAATTCCCCCCGGCTGCCTTTCCTTTTGCCCAAAATGTCTGGGGGAAAAGAATGAAGCGCCAGGTCAAACCAACAGAGGCCGATGACCTGGTTGCCTGGGAAACCACTCTCCGGGCCGGGGATGCCTCCACCCGCGGTCTTTACCATGTCGGGAAATGGAGCGTCTACCCCGGCCGGGAGACTGAACCTGAGCCGGAGATTGTCCTGACTGGGGTGATCCCCGAAGCCATCCCCATCAGCCGGGCGAGGGGATCCAAAGCCCTGGCCACAACCACCGCCGGTCCTTCACGCCTGGCGAAGAAGAAGAAGGAGAAAGGTCAATCAACTACCCTTATTTTCCTTCCATTTTTCTTTTTATATATCGCTGTTCTTTTAACCGGTTTCGTTTCTTGCAGTGGTGAAGTTCCAGTCGAAATTTGCCACTCCAAAAATCGCCGTTGAGGAGCCTTCCACCGCCCAGCTTCTCAGCCAACCTTCGGTCCAACCAGTCTCTTTGGACGAGCAGCCGACCCAGTCTCAACAGGGTACCAGCCAGCCCATCCACTCCAGGGAACTCTACATCAATGTAGATACCCTGGAGTTCGACCAGCTGATGGAGGCTGGTCAAGCAAACCAGCTGGCCGAGGGAGGCCACGAAGAAGAGGAGGCTGCTGAAGAGTCCCTTAAGAGGAAGAGGCGGAAGACGGAAGTAGTCGACCAGCCGGCTCATCAAGCGGCCCAGTCCTCCGATGCCGGCAAAAGGCAAAGCCCGCCCCGGTCTATGGCTCTAATGTCTAGATCGGACGAAGAGCTCCTCCAAGCCTTCCGCGCCGACCTGACTGAGGTAATCCCCCTTTCTCCCTTCTTACCGCCCTCTTATTGCTTCTGATACCCTGCTGAAAAACTTTTCATGTCTTTAAAGCAGGTCGGTCGGATTGGTGAGGAGTACTTCACTCGGCTGGTGAAGTCAAGGGACGAGGAAAAGGCCCAGATGGAGGCCATGATGGTCGAATGCCGGAAGGAGGCTAAGGCCGCTTTTAAGAAGGTGGCGAAGGCGGAGGAGAAGCTGATGGACCATTGTGCGGTCTACCGTCAGCTGTATGCGAAGCATGACGGTCTCCTCAAGGCCGCGAAGGAAGCCGATGAGCAAGCTCAGGCAAAGATCCAACAGCTTGAGGCCAAGAACGCCCGGTCAGCTGAGGAAATTGCCCGGCTCGGAGACGAGCTGGAGAAAGAGCGCTCGGAAAGGGCTCCTCTTGCTGCTGCCTGGGCTGTCCAAGCGCCGAGGAGTTTGCTGCCCAAGCACTTCCTGAACGGGAGACTGCCATCCGCTTCTTCCAAGGTTTATACAAGCACGAAGTCTCGGCCGGGATCATCGACGAGATCGGAACCTACGGTTTCGAAAGCGGTCAGTACGATGAACGGCGGGCTCTATATGGTATCCTTGAGCAGCGGATTCAAGGTTTTCAGCCCAAGGCTCTTTCTCTGCCTGAGCTGCATGATGAGGCACCGGTCGCGCCTTTCCCGGGCATCTGATTTTCCAGCCTTTTTTACTTTCTCGTTTTTTTTGTTTACTTCCCGTGTGTAATGATCTGCCTTCGGGCACTTTTGTAAGACTTAAATATTATTGCAAGTGTTTTTCTCCTATATTCTCTTCAACTTAAGATTTTTAACCGTTTAGATTAGTAAATACAGCCCGGCCGCATTTACCCGGTTTAAAATACAATTTTACCCAAGGCTTTTCGAAAGGCTGGGTGGTCGACCGGGAAGACTTTGAGTTTCATTAATTTTCTTCCGGTCGGTTAATAACCCGCAATGGCGTATCGAGTATTTGCCCGGGCGCCTTTTCACAATCACTTAAAGCCCTTGTGAAAAGGTAAAACTTGACTTGCCCTTTCAGAACGTCTGACTTAAACTGGCCGGGATGCTCTCCCTTTAGTCAAGCCAAATCGTTTTAACTCCCGTGTTAGTACGGATGAGGTGTAGGATCGGTTAGACCGGTCTCTCTCTCTTTTTTTTTTGAGATGCCAATTCGATTGGACATCTAACCGGGTAGATCGGTATGTCGACCAATTACCGGTTGATGTACGAGGACAATCTTTCTTAAAAGAACAAAGTTTTATTAACACCTAGGGAACTCATTACATTTTATCTAAAGAATTTACGTAAGTGATGAGAGTTCCAATGTCGGTCAACCCGGCCACCTTCCATAGTCTCAAGTTGGTAAGTGCCCGGCCGGATGATCGCCTTTATGCGATAGGGTCCTTCCCAATTTCGCACCAACTTGCCTCTCTCGTTAGGTTTACTAGCATCCCGTCTGCGCAAGACCTCATCATGCACTTGAAAGTACCGTGGGCCCACCCGGTTGTCGTGATATCTCTTTACCGACTGCTGGTAACCGGCCATCTTGACAGCTGCTAGGGTCCTTCGTTCTTCCACCAAATTTAACTCAGCTAGGTGGTCGACCTCATTCTGACCGGGCTGGTACATGGTTTCTCTAAATGTTGGAATTTCCGCTTCAACTGGCAACCGGGCTTCACATCTGTAGGTGAGCACAAATGGAGTTTCTCCGGTTGCCCTTCTTGAAGTCACTTTATGCGCCCAAACCGTGTGAGGCAAAGCTCCCAACCATTTATGGCCTTCTTCACCCAACCTCTTCTTTAGGCCGTCCACTATCGTCCGGTTAGCATTTTCAACTTGGCCGTTTCCCTGTGGATAAGCTACTGAGGCCTTGCTGTGCTTGATTCCAGAACTAGCCAAGTACTCAGTGAACCGGGGGTTATGAAACTGCAGACCATTGTCGGTAACAATCATCTTCGGGGCACCAAACCGGGTGATAATGTTTTTCCAAACAAATTTCTCACACTGCCGCACGGTTATGGTAGCCATTGCCTCGGCCTCGACCCATTTAGTGAAGTAATCAATAGCCACCATCACGAACTTCTTCCTGCCTTGGGCGACCGGGAAGGCTCCAATAATGTCAATCCCAAACTGGGCAAATGGTATGACATTAGACGTTGGTTGGTAGTATGTGGCCGGTCTGCCGGGATGTTTGTAAAAAACTTGGCACGTCCTGTAACGCCCCGAAAATAGGCCTATCAGTATTAATTAATTGATAATTAATTAATTACTGAGAAGGACCCAAAAATAAATAAATTCTAAAGTTTGTTAATAATTAATAAAAATTATATCGTTGTGTAGAGTTTGACTGTCTGACCCCAACGGTTCAATCGGATTTCAAATTGGAGAAAGTTGAACCAAAAAGTGTACCCCAACTAGGACTAAAATTAGTCCTAATCAGAGGACACACCAAACGGCGCCCTGTTCAATTACGCCGATTCCAAAAATACGAATCAGCTCAATCAAGGAACTATTGTGTTTTCTTCTTCTTCACTGGCTTATTTAAAGAGAGCCAATTCTCCCGTTTCTCCACCAAAGTCTATAATTCTTCATCCTATTCTGTTGTTCTGAGAGAGGAGAATACACTGGTGTTGACAGCTCTGTGAGAAGTCGCCGGAGCAGTGAGAAAGAGTCGCCGGAAATTTCGCCGGAAAATCTTCAAAACCTCCCCTACGCTTTGAGGTAAGCCCTTAGATATATCTAATGACTAGAATGTTCATATAGGTCGTTTCTATGTTCATAAATGGTCATTTGGTTGAGTTTTTGTGTTTGACATGCTTAAGAACCAAGAATCATA